AACCCAGCGGCCGGCGACGTGCCCCGCGTCCAGTCAGGACGGGCAGCTCTGGGAGCGGGTCCAGCCGGGAGTTAACTAAGCGTGAACAAGGGGGACGCTGCGCAGCCCGTCAGGGCCTGCAAGGCAGGTTCGGAGCGGGACGGTCAACAGCCCCGGATGGGGACGCGCCCTGGGCTGTCCCGGGACAGGGGTGGGGCCGAAATGAAAAAAGAAAACAAAACTGCACCTCTCCATCGTGAGGAAACCTCCAGGGGAAAAGATGAAGGGAGCAGGGGAGACAAAGTCAAGGATGACGAAACCGGGGCGCAGACGCGTGTGGCGAGGCCGACACCCCGCCGGAACGTCTCGCCAGGCGAACAGCGCTCGCGCCCAAGAGGCGGCCCGAAGCCTGGCGCCCCGCACGGCCGTGTCTGGGCTGCACGCGCCCCCCCGCGCCCGAGGGGCAGACGCTGCAGAGACCCCAGAGAGGGCGGCCCAGGCGGAACCCGCCGCTCACGGCAGCCGCGACTAGCCTGGAAAGAGCCTGCGGGGAGGGCCGTCAATGCTCTTAAAAAGTGAAAAAGAAAAGAAGGGACGGTCCGTGCCGGAGAGGTGGAAACAGAAGAATCAAAGCGACACGCTGGAATGAAAAAACAATTGTAACAGAAATTAAAAGTGTTTTTGATGGTCTGCTGCGCCCTGGCGGGGACCAGCCCAGGCCTCAGGGGCCCGATCGCCCTGCGCCGAGTGAGCCGTAACCCCTGCGCCGCCAGGGGCCCCGCCTTGGTTCGTTCTTTCTGTCTAACATTTATTTTCTGTCTTCCCTGGTCTTAACGCTATGATGACTCTTCCCCGGTCTCTCAGCACGGCCACCGGACTCAAAACCAGCTCGCGGCGGGCCTCCCCGGGGGCGCAGCGGTTGAGCGCTGGGTGGCGAAGCTGCCCGCGGCCTCTGCAGCGCCGGTTCGATCCCCGGCTGCTCCCCGGCCCCCGGAGGAGGGTCCCACATGGCGCGCAGACCTCTCCTGCCGCCCGCTGCTCCCCTCAGCAGTGGGTTTCAGTGGATCTGCCTGCTCTGCTCCCCGCTCTGGTGAATCCTCTCACCCCCCACGCTTCTGGCCTGTACCCCAGGTCTTGTATGCATAAATAAATTACTAAAAAAAACAACCCAGCTCTCCACGAAGAACACAGCTGGCTGACAAACACCTGCCCTCTGCCCACCCTCCTGCGGCCCCGCCCCGTTCTCAAGCTCCAAAGGACGCCTGGAGACCGAGGCAGCCAGGGGCCCACGCCACTAACAGGTCAGGGGGGCGCCTCTGGCCTCAGCGCTGCAGTGAGCCCGACACCAACCACCCGAGGAATCCTCTAGAGGGCTCGTTTGTTCTGGCTGCCGTTTACTGGAGCAACGGCCTAGAACGGAGCTTCGGCTGGGGGCAGGGCCCCCCGAAGCCCTCACTGCTGGGCCACGGGACACCCTGGGACTCGCTGCGCGCTCGGGCTCCCTCGCTTCCCCTAATACCCGCAGCAGGGCAGGAGCCCCCTGGCCCTCTCGGCCCCCTGCTGCCGGGCACTGCCGGCGCGGGCCGTCTTACGGGGACGCCTGGCCGACCGTGGCGCCAGCTGCGGGGCGCACCAAGGACGCGGGGAACGCTGCTCCCGGGCCTCCCGGAGAAACGTACCCGAGAACAAGCCGGAGGGACGGCGACGTGGGACTGACCGGTGAAATGGCCACGTCTCAAACCAAGTCCACAGGAGAGTGGAAAGCAAGCGATGACAGCCTGCAGCAGCCGCGGGACCCGACATGCACACACCAGACACTTAAAAAAAGCAAAAGCTGGGAAATAGCAAATAGTACATTTTAATGTGTCTGTAAACGAGTGTGTAAACACACTCGTTGGTACCAGGCTGGCCACTGTTTCCAGTCTTCGCAATGAGCAGAGCCAGGAAGTATATACATTTAAAGGTAAAATGCCCCGTAAGTCTATACTATTTCTATTTAATTTCAAAGCTGTGGGGTTTTTACTTAGCACCTCTATTTCTTAGTCCATAAACATCCTGATTTTCAGGGACACAAGGAGGATGGAATTAAAATAGTCCAGAATTACTCGTTTGTTTCATCACATCACACACGTTACTGATACATATACGTCATGTATTTCCATATTTACATTTCTGTGTATTTAGGGTTTCATCCCACGGTACAGTCTCCGACATGTGTAATCACTGTGTGGGTGGCTATGCACACGCACAAACTCGTATTAAGGAATTTGTAAGCTTTTCTCCTGTTGATCCACTGTGGACTTCCAGTGAGTCCTGGACCTGGGGCGCGACGGTGAAGGAAATCAGACATGGGGTGCTGCACCTCCCCCTGCAGTGACCGTCAGGGCTAATGGCTGTTGCCATGGTCCCTGAGGTCCGGCGTGGGCCAGGAACCATGCGCGCAGGGGGAGAACAGCAAACTCCCTAAGATGCAGAGAAGCCGAATGCCTGCCAAGAGATGACGACCACCAGAAGCCGCCACAAAGATGATTAAAAGAAATGCTGACCACCTGGAACCTTATCTCGCTTTCTCAAGGCCCACAAACTTTATTTTGCTATAACTGTCTTTCTAAAATCTTTCCTTTTTCTGGTCATTGATTGCTAATTAAAAAACATACGTGATTTAATAATTAGGCTAATACAAATGAAACATTACTAAACACTGTGTTATAATAGTTGGTTTAATAATATTTCTATTATGTGCTTGACTTTAGTACCTTTGATATTAACTGCACTATAATATAAATTCACCCATGACAATTAGTTATGAGTAAACATAAGTAGGTAGTAGTAGTAGTAGTTAGTACAAGAATATAGAAAGAGTTAATGGCCTGTCTCCTTAGGAATGCAGCTAGGTCCAGATGTATTTTGGACATAAATCACTGCCCTGTCAATGATAAGCTAAACCATTGAGCAAACTAATTTCTTTGATGTTCACTAATCCTATGCCTTTAGAAAAAACATATATATACTGACCACTGACCCAAATAAAGGGCACTCAGATTTACACTCTCTCTGGAAGTGTGTCTGTTTGTCATTTCTTCAGCCGAATCCCTGACCACCCTGCGCAGTCTCTCAACCCTGAGACGGCCTCATCGCTCACTGCTGCGCTGGTCCGCGGCATGGGGGACTGTCATGTCGGCATGCAGTGAATCTTTACTTTCTTAGTGCTCTTTTCTACACTACTTTAAGTGCAGCAAGTGTAACATCAAAGCAGGCCATATGTATGACGGATTATTCTGCTTTCTTACTATTATCTCTCTACTGCAGGCAGTAGGGTGCCAGGTGGTTAATTCTCACGCACATCATCTCATCGCCCCCTAGCTACAACATGGGAATTTCGCTCATTATTTCTTATTATTCTAAGACTGTGGCGCTGTAGAGGCCTGACTCCACGCAGGTCACATTCCAGGCACTCAACACCAGGTCCGGTCACTCAGAGGTTTTCCTCCAAGACGCATGTGTTTTCACGCGCCTTTGCGACTCAGGTTAAGGCCCTTCTGCGCTGCGCGGGGTCTCTCCCAACAATCCATCTTATGCCAATTGTCAAGTCCACATAAAAAGAACCCTAGGGGCCTTCCCGGTGGCGCAGCAGGTTGAGCGCAGCGCTGTAAAGCTGTTTGCAGCCTCTGCAGTGCAGGTTCGATCCCAGGCCGGCCAGGGAGATTCCCACATGGTGCACAGACCTCTCCTGTTTCCCCACTGCTCCCCTCAGCAGTGTATTTCGTCAGTCTGCCTGTTCTGTTCCCCACTCTGTCTCTGGTGAAGCCTCTCACCCTCCCGCACCTCTGGTGGTGTTTATTAATTCCCCACTCATAGCTTTTTGGGTTGTTTATACTTTCTGGTAATTGTGAGTAGGGGTACAAGCTTTTGTTTGAACAATTTTCTTCTCAATTTGCTTCGGCATTTATCTAGAAGAATGCTGGGCCATATGTTAATTTTATTTGCTTATTTGAACTTAAATGTAATCTATTGTCACATTTTTCTTAAAAATAGTGCCATTACTCCAAATAAACCAAAGTAAAAACAAAGAATTCGAGGTATCCCATTTATCCTTGTGTTGGGTGGCTGAAAAGCAGCAATCAGGATGACAGGTGATGGATCCAAAGTCAATGCTAAATTTGTTAAGATTTCTCCATTTGTAAATCATCCTTAAAGAAAATAATACATGCAGTCACACCCTCCCCGCAGTGGTCCAGCAGAGCAACCGTACTACCTGGATTCATGTTTTCACCAGTAAGAAACTGGGAGTGTTTGGAATGAGCAAGGATGGGCTCTGCTTGCTCTGCAGCCCCCAGCATGAAACGTTTCACTCCTTCAGGTCAAGTTTGTCTTTACTTGATGTTCATGTAACTCTGACGTCCTTCTTGTAAGATGCTTTCGTGAAGCTGATTTCCTGCAAGTGATGGTTCATGACATTATGATCAACACCAGTGATTACTGTGCTTCCGGTATTTTCTCTCTTGGCTGCTCAGCAGAAGCACTTCCACCAACTGGCGTGTCATCAGTGCTGCCCTCTGTCCCACTGACCGTTTTCCTCCCCAGCTTGAGAAAACCCACCCAGAGCAGCCAGATGTCAGAGAACAGCTCATCATGGTTGCTGTCCGGGCAGGTAAATCATGATGGCAGCTGGCGAGGACTGTGGTGGCGGGTGGCAGGAGAGGTCTGCGCGCCATGAGGGACCCTCCTCCAGTGGCCGGGGAGCAGCCGGGGATCCAACCGGCGCCGCAGAGGCCGAGGGCAGCTTCGCAACCCAGCGCTCAACCGCTGCGCCACCGGGGAGGCCCGGAAAAGGTTAATTCTATGTTGAGCCTATTGAGGAACTGCCAAGCTGCTTCCACACCAGCTGCACGAGCATGCACCGTGCTCTCTAGCAAAAGTACGAGGGTTCCAATTTCTCCACATTCTGGCAACACTTGCTGTTTTCTGTTTGTTTTAGGTTATCCTGGTGGGTGTGTCTAGTGGTTTTGATTTTTAGGTCTCTGGTGGCTTCGTAATGTTGAGCCTCTTCGTGTTCCTGGAGTTCACGTCCTTTGCCTACTCTCTAACTGGGCTGTCTTCTTGCCGCTGAGTTTATCCCATGAGACCCCGTCGTAAGTCAAGGAAGGCCTGGAATTTGTTCTCCTTACCTCTGAACTGCTAAAACGGTCAAATTCCAAATGCTTACTTATCTTCGATAGGTATGTTTTCTTTTAAATAGAGAAGAGGGTGATGTTTACGTTTAAGAATAAATGTCTTTAGCACAAACACAAAGTACAGTGACCGTGTGGGCAGCTCCCTGCAAGCTCTGAATGCTGCACGCGCCCTGGGGCGCGGACGTGGCGCCCACCCCCTGCGAGGCGTTCTGGCCCCCGGGACGGCGCTTGGCGGAGGTGCGGCAGAAAGCACAGGCAGTCGGAAGGCGTCGCGAGGCGCTGCCGTGGTCTCCTCCCAGCTCTGGGAGGCCACGCCGGTCCCCTGTGCCTTCCATTCCGCGCAGCCGCTGCTCCCCGGGCGCAGCAGAGGGCGCCGGGCCTGCTCTTCCTCACGGCGGGGCTGAGAGAACCTAAATCGTCCCTAGAGCGTCCCGCCATTGGCTTTTCTTCTCGTGGTACAGTTCTCTGAGGACATTTGGCTCGTGGGTTTTCGGAGTACGAGGCGCCCATGTTTAACGTTGGGATGTGTTCACGTTTAGAGAATGATGCTCTCACGGGTGTGCAGGATTTCTTTCAGCTCCGTGCGTATCACCCAGGACCTGCCTTGGGAATTGCTTTCACTCATAATAAGGGCGTGCTCGGCGTGTGTGGTTGTGTCTAACGAGCACTCATGAGCTGAGGTCTGAGTATCTTTATCAGGAAAGTGAAGCGTGTGGAGTGTGTGATTACCGAGATTTTTTTTACACGTTAGTGTAGTTAAGTGACTGATAAGCGTTCAAGTTGCTTATGTCATAGTGGTATCGACTGTTGCGTTATTACGCATCCTGGTCTGCGCTGGAAAGAAAGGCTTTGGGTGGTCGCCAGCGTCTCCAAGATCATTTTAAACATCCATGCTTCCATCTGCTGTTTTATCATGTGGCCAAAGTTGGGGAACATCAGAAAGCAAGGGAGTCTCGGGGATCAACTGTAGGGCACAGACTTCTGCCACGTGGCAAGTGCCCATCAGGTCAAGCTTTTGGAGTGCTTTGGCCAGCAGGAGAGCGCTTGGAGGAGGTCCTGTGGATGGACAGACGGACTGAACTCCAAATGACCCAGGAGATGCGAGTTTGCGGTCATTTCTCATCTAGGAAGCCATGGGAAACGGGCTTCCAGCGCTCACCGTTGTCGGGCCAGGCGCAGAAGACTCTGGCGTCTGTGGTCCTGGACCCTGTCCCGGAAGGGGCTTCCCCAGCCCCGCTGATGACAGGGCTCTCCTGGGCGGAGGTCGCTCAGGCCACCAGGGGCACACGGCTCTCTAGCACAACCTCGAAACTACACACACACAACAGAGCCACAGAAATAATCAGTTTTCCCGCAAGTTCTGGGTCGTTCCCTCCCACGTTGTGCGCGGGAAGGTCTTCAGCCCCGAGCCACCCCACTTCCTACCGCGCTTTCTGTCGTCACCGATCCGGCTGCCGATCACAGTCTCTCAGACCCCAAGAGCCCTGATGACCGGGGACGTGCACGGACACCCCGAAAGCGAGGTGGGCTGTGGGCGGCGAGTGTGTCGCGGCACCGCCCCCCACCCTGCCCCCCACAGAGACTGACCAGGGGCAAACGTGGCCGTGAAGTTTTGACGACTCAGGTTGTAAGGGACGTGAGATTTCTTCTTGGCAGTCTTTCTATTTTGAGAAGCTCCTACCACACTTACATGGTAAACCACGATTGAAAAACCAGACCGAAGCAGCACACACACGCCAGGCTGCCGCGGGAGCCACGCGCTGCGCAGGGAGAGACGGGACGGCGGCGCCGGTGCTCTTCCCACACGCTCGCTGCCGCCAGCAGCAGGCCCGCCCTGCTCTCCTGAACCTCCTCTCCAGGAACCCCCCACCTGGCTGCCGTGGACCTGGGGCGGCAGGTTGTGGGGAGCACACCCCCAACAGACAGTCCCCTGCGGGAACCTCGTGAAACACATGCTAACCCCTTTTCGCCCACGGTGCGCAGAGGCCCAGGAGCATTTGGTTGTCTTGGAATAACTCTTTACAATACCTCAAGTTACTTGATGGCTTGTTCATGTCGCGAGATCAGGGGCTGGCAAACCACGGCCCACGGGCTAACTCTGGCCTGTTTTCGTACAGCCTATGAACTAAGAATGGCTTTTACATTCTCTAATATTTAGGGGAAAAAAAGAAAATAACATTTCATGACACGGGAAAAATGACATGAAATTAAAATGTTAGTCTCTGAAAACAAGCGGGGCCGGGTGGGGGCACAGCCAGACACAGACCCTGCTCTGGGCCCCACTCATGAAGCCAAGAAAAAGGCCTTTTCAACCCTGTGTGAAGCACCACAGAGATGTAATGAGACTCAAATGAACGGAGTCAAAGTGGGAAGCTGTGTGGGGTCGAGCTTTCTGCTGCTGGCCAGGGGGTGCGCCGAGCAAGTCGCTGGCTCCCGTGGCCCAAACACCCACACGCTCAGGCTGGTGCTCGGCCGGCAATACCTCAGGCCAGGCCCACGGACACCTGCGGGCCCCGTGCTGCCTAACGTGGCGGCCGCCCCTCACACGCGGTGCTTACATCGAAGTGAATTAACCTTCACAAAACACAAAACTCCATTTCTCATCACGCTTGTCACATTTCAAGTGCTCAAGAGCCACATGGCACCGGGGGCTACTGTAACGGAGATACACCTTCCATCACTGCAGAAGTTCTAGCACCACCCTGGAAATCACATCTATGTCCTAACGGAGCTGCTTTTCAGGGCAACACCTAGTAGTTCCCGTCTCGTGCCCCACGCTGACGTGTGACAGGTGGGGCCTGGCAACCGCGGGAACATGGAGTACAGGGTGAGGGAGGCCGCCACCGCCTTGCCCCCACAGCCTGTGCCAAGCCAGGAGCCTGCCAGCTGCACCCACGAACACCCTTGAGGAGTGGTGACGACCACCGTTGTCTTCAGGCCTCGGCCCTGGCTCCCGCCGGCTGGTGGACACGCAGGCGGTGGCACAGAGCAGCTTTATGACATAGTCGGGGCGGAGTGCTGAGCTAAGGGGCATGTTGTTTCGTTTCTGTTCCAGAACATATAAACCAGAAAGGACTGATGGACGAGCTAAGGCGCGACTGATCAGAACAGGGGGCAGACATTTCCTCAAAAATCAACAAAGTGCGCCAGTCACTTCAAGGAGAGTTGATTGCGGCAAAGATCAAATACGCACTTTCACAAAAATCAAAATTTCAGGAAACCTCTAGCTACCACACGAGCGTGACAGCTTCTCAAAATTTCTAAGACTGTCTGGAAGGGACATGATGGCGCTGTTAGTCAGTGTGAGTGTAAAACCTCGTACAGTGAAGTCTGCCAGCCTTTGGAAGAGCCGTGCAATTCAGCGAGCCAGACTCCCAGGTGACCAAAGGACGGTGCTACATAGAAATACCACCAGGTCGCTCAGTGCCAGACAGACACACGGATTCTAATTTCGCACCGCAGCTGGACGGGAAGACACTTGCACTTGCTGAGTTTTGGTGCGGTGTCCGGGAAGAGAACACCCATCGTCTGAAAAGGCTCTTCCCTGTAGCAGCTACTGTCCGCGGGAGGCCGCGTCCTGCCCTCCCGTGGCGCGCGGAGGCTGAGGCGGACAGGAGACGCCCGGTGTGCGCATCCACTCACCCATTTGCAAAATTAGTCCCTACCTTTACGAATTACCTTTGCTCTGGACAAGGTCATTTTCATAAAAATGTGTTTTTGATGGGCTCCATGTAAAGGATTTGTTACTTTTCAATGAATTATTTTAAGAATTTCTAACAGAAAATCCCAACAGATAAACGACACCCGTGGAAACCTCGGGAGGGTCAATGAAGCTCACCCCGCATACCTCAACACTCACCCCCGTCCTGCGCACCGGGTCACTGGGGCTCGCCCCCACCCTGGCACTCAGCGTCCTGCTCCGATCAGAGGAACGGGTGCAGGCCGGGGACAGCGCCCGAGCACCCCGCCCAGCTCGTCGCCTGCTCCGGAGGCAGCAGGTGCTCCTGCCCCCCGCCCCGCGGTCGGAGGCGCTTCGGAGGACGCCCCCGTCCCGGGCCGGATCTGGCTTCTCCTTCCCACCACAGACTCCACAGGTTCTCAGGCTGGGGTCTAGCTCGCTGCCGTCATTTCTGACGAGGCACCACTCGGGGAACGGCGGGAGAGGCAGATGAAGGGGGGAGGGACCGTCTGCTTCGGGGCGGCGTCAGCACCTGACAGAGAAGCAGCGCGACGCGGCACGTCCAAGGGGAGACAACTTACTTTTCTTCCGGGGCTGGGAGGGAGACGTGGACTGGGAGGCCGCGCCGCCGGAGCTGCTCTCCTCCTCCTCCTTGGCTTCCGCCTTGACCTCCGGCTTCTTCTCGTCCACCTGCATCGCTTCTGGCTTCGGCTCTGCGGGGTCCGTTTCTTCTTTGGCTGGAGCAGATCCTTGCAAGTCCTCTTCCATCATCTTCAGAAAAGCAAAACCACGGAGAAGGAGGTGTGAACAGCACAGACCTTCACGCCACCGCAGGCGGACCGGGGCCTTCGGGGGCGGCACGGGACCGCGCAGGTCCTTCCTGGCGGGAGCCGCGCGGCTCCCTCCTCGCCCCTCCCGCAGCGGGACGGGGACGCTTGGTGGCACCTGAGTGACACCTGGTGTCACCTGAGTCCCTCGAACACAGACCCGAGGCGAGCGTCGTCCCAATTTAACCTGTTCTTACACCAATGTATGTCGCACTAGACGGGACTCAGACACCAAGCTGCTCAGACTGTCAGGCAGGTGAGGCCGACGCAGTGAGGGGAGTGGGGGGACAAGGAGCAGCGGGGACCGGCCAGCTGCGGAGCCCGGTTCCCATGTGAGGCTTCATGAGGGCGCTCCCACCCAGCTTGCCCCCGTGGGAAGGCCCGCCAAATGCTGACGGGGTTTCTCAACTTGCCAGAAAAGCCAGGAATCTAGACTTGTATTGGCAATTCCCCATCTTAAAAACTACCGCGTCTGCACGGGCGATAAAAACACATTTTTTATAGGCTGACTGCCCGTGGCCAGCAGCTCCCAGCCTCTGCCACGGGCCCCTCGGTGAGCCAGGACCCCCGGTGCCGTCGCCACATAGCCTCAGCCGGTGGCGAACAGCACAAACACCCTTTTGGACGGGAGCCCGTGCTCTTCCCGCCAGGCAGACTGAAAAAAGCCCCGGCCCAACCTCTCAGAAGAAACAGCCCGCCTCTCTTCAGTCTGTTCTCTGCTGGAACCCTGACTCAAGCAGACAGTGAGGGTACAGCGGGGCATCCCAGCTTCTCCCCTGAGGACGGCCCGGTGGCGCGCCCCTGCAGGCGGCACATCGCTCCACTCCCCAGAACGGTGCCTACCGTGGACCCGGGCTCCCCCTTGGGCTCGCTGGCGTCGGGTTCGGCATCCTCGGTCTTGACCTCGGCCTTCATCTCCGGCATTGGCGCGTCGGGTCCCGGCTGCTGGGAGTTGGTTTCGGCGCTGGCCACGGAAGATGGTGTGGGGACCCTGTTATCAATGCTGGCTGCTGCCTGGGAAAGCTGTGGGGAAGCCAAAATCATGGATGTCTGCAAACAGACAACACGCGTGACCTTTCAGAGCTGCGCCCTCCTGGGTGCAGCTCTGTGGTCACATCTCCCAAGCCCAGCCTAACAGGCACGCACGACTGGCGAGAACTGGAGATAGGAGGCCAAGCGAGGAGTCTGACACGCAGCCACTGGCAGGCGAGATGCACCCAGCTTCCAGGCAGAGCGCAGATGTGAAGAGCAGAGCTCTCCTCGCTTTGTCCTACAGTTATTTTCTGGAAGTTTTCTACCTAAGTCGAAAACCTCCGATTTGAAATGTCAGGTCATGAATGTGTATGATAAAAAGCTGAATGATCGATGGGTGAGCGTGTCTGCAGGGCGGAACAGAGCGCCCGTGTGGACGAACGTGGGTGATCAGCCGGTTAACTGCAGGAACATGGGCGATGTCGGGGGTGGTGGAGTCAGTGAACAGCAAGAGAAGGAACCACTGGAAGATTCTCAGTTTTGAAGGTCTTAGCCAATGGTGTTTTAAGTAACGGAGAGAGAACACAAGTCGCAAGGGATCTTACTGAGAGCTGAGAAACGCGAACCAAGAATGAGGAGGGTGCGCCCCTTGTGGAAAGACACGAGCAGAGCTGTTAGGCTGCCGCTGTGAGGACTAACTGCGACGCTTTATGGACAGATGTTCTCAGTATTAAGGTGAATGTGTTTCAGGGCACGGGGGCTTCTAAGTCAGATGACAAGTAAATAAAGTAAGATCTCAGAGATCATGGAAAAGGGGGGTGGAGGTGGCCGGGCAGCCTGGAGCGCCTGGGGCAGCGGGGGCGGCCCAGCCTCGGAGTTGGGCACCACCAGCAGGTCCCCAGAAGACTGAGCCACAGGAGGCACACCCCGGGCCTGCCACGTCACATTGAAATGGCCTCCAAAAACACAGCTGGGAGGCAGCAAGATCAAAGTCCACGTGGCGAGTCATGTGACGCGTCTACCAAACTGTCACGACCTTAGGGGAGTAAGGACTGGAAGCAGACGGCACCAACCTAAGACAGCAACGGGGAGCATGCAGCCTGTCTGCAGGGAGCCTGAACAGCGCACAGAAGACCCCGTGTGACTTCTTCACGACTGCCCGTCCCCCTAAGCTGCATCCGCCAGCTACCGTCTTGGCGGAGGCGAGGCAATGCCAGGGCGGCCCTCAGGGCGCAGCTCATGGGCAGTGACTTCACGATAGACACTGTCTACAGAAAGCGCTCGCGTAAGAGACAGAGGCTCACCGGCGTGCCAGGAGGCTGGGCGTGCACAGGCGTCGGCTGCTGCTGGGATGACTGAGGGGTGGCGACGGAGGGGGGCGGCACTGGGGTCTGAGGCTGCGGGGTCACCTGGGCCTGAGCTGCTGCCTGGACTGTCGGGGTGCTCTGGGTTTGGCTGGCACTGGGCACTGAGCCGGGAGTCGGGGTGGGAGTCTGCCCGGAAGACGACACGGGAGTCGACGGCTGGGTGGGAGCGGCGGGCTGGGGGGGCGTCATCCCCGGCGCGGCGGGGTGCTGCAGAGACGGCATGCCGGCGGCCGTGGAGGCAGGAGGCGGCGTCGGGTGCAGCGGCGACTGTGTCACGGGAGGGCAAGGCAGCTGGCTGGCCGGGGGCCCCAGCATGTTCAGAGGGTTGGGAAGAGCAGCACCAGGCACCTGCCCCTGACAGAAGAGAAGAGAGTTCGGCAACGTTATTCCCATGTGTGAAAATGTGGCGGCAGATTTGCAGACCTGAAGGTACGAAAATCGAGTCAAGACTTCTCCATGAGACCTGCTGGCTCAGAGAAATGTCCCATGTGTGAAAAATCATGGAATTGGGCACTCAGGGTAAGATGCACTTTCCAGTAAGTCATCACTGCGAATGTTCTCATTCTCTGATTTATAGAACTGTCAAGCCTCAGGCTTGGAAGAGACATGTAAGATCACCGGCCTCGCGCTCCGGGACACACGCCCACAGCTCAGCGCTCTGGAAGGTTCCCTCGTTTACAAAGCACAAGCTGCCGGAGGACCGCGTGGGCCAGCACAGCGTTGTTCCTTGCAGGCGCACCCTTGAGTCTCCTTGTGGGTCTTTTAAAAATCATGGATCAGAGCAGGGTGGTTAACTACAGCTCAGGGCCGGACCCAGCCAGCTGCCTGCACCTATCCTGTGGGCACAGCCACGCCCCTCTGTCATGCACAGGTGACATGTCCACGGCTGCTTGTGCACCTCAACAGAGTCCCAAGTTAGAACAGACTTGATGGGCCAGAGTCCACAATGTTTGCAGGACAAGTCTGCAGATCTCTGTTCCAAAGCAATAAAATGCCAATATTAAGACTAAGTAGTTAATGAATAAAAAATAATGTGGCCAATGGCTTCTGTTCACACCACTTCATTCTGAAAGATTAAACACAGAGTATGTCTTTGGGGGAAGAGCTGGCCGCTACAGACACGCACACGGGTGGCAGCAGCATCTCACATCCTGCAGTCTACAAAGGGGGCGGCCCTCAACCCGAGGAGACTTCTCGGCGCTTGATAGGTAATTAAGAACAAGGCAGCGAGAAGAGAGCCCCTTGGATGATTCAGCCAGCCTGACTCTGCCTGGGCAGACAGATGGGCAGCAGCACAAGCTGACCTTCCCTCAGGCCTCTGAAAGACCCACAGTCTCTCAGGGTGGCATGTGAGATTCGGAGTTGAACACGCAGACGTTAATACTGAGAAAGTGACACATAAAACCTGGCAATCAAAACCCCAAAGTACACAAGGCAGAAATCTGCAATCCACTTTCGCATGAAGTTCACGTCAGGGTAAGAGCACGTCCAAGCCAGGTAAACACGACAGGACAAAAGGGGAAAAATTCGAGGACGCCGACACATGGAAATGAGGTGCGAGCTCCTCGGGAGCAGAGGGGCGGCGCCGACACAGGCGGCCACGCCAAGCGCCAACTGTACCTGCGCCACGCTGGTCTGGGTCGTCGGCTGCCCCAGGCCCACGCTGTTCACGCTCATGGCCCCGCCGGGGGAGGGGAACTGGCCCTGCGGCAGGAACTGGCTCTGCGCGGGTGCCGGGGCCAGCATGCTGCCCGTGTGCGCGCCCATCATGTTGGGAGGCTGGGGCATGCGGGGCGGAGAGATGGCCATCTAGAAGGCAAGTGTCATCGAGAGTTCAGAAGACAAGGGTCGGGGTGTCAAGACGCCCTAGGAGACACGGGGCCCAACCATCCCAGAACTCGGGCACTCGGGCAAGTCGACCCTCCCTCGAGGGGTGAGAGCCGCCGCTCCCAGAGCCCCCGGCTCCCGGGCACTCGAAGCGCCTTCTCAGGCAAGTCTCTAATGAGGCGGTTCAAACCGCCATCGGAACAGAAATCACCAGCACACTATCATGCAAAGTTCCCAATGTGTCCTGCAGGAGTTCTTGACGGCGCTGAGGAAGCAGTCTCTAGACTCCAGAGTCAGCTCTAGAAGCCCACAGGAGGGACAAGCCCGCTCAGGCCCACAGTGGAGGCTGCCTCCCCCCTCCGCAGGACGCCCATCTCTCGCCCGGTCACGAGGTCCTGGGACATTACCATGCCAGGAGAAAGAACGGTCAAAAGATTCCCTCTGGGGCAGTGATGACGCGAGAGAAAACAGAAATCCGGCAGAAGCCAAACGCAGAGGAGCCGGCGCTGCAGGATCCCAGGCCGCGGAGAATCCCACCACTTGGGGAACCCCTCTCGCTCGCGCCCGGCTGAGGCGAGTCGAAGCACTTACCCCTGGAACGGAGCCCATGCTGTTCATCTGGACAGAGTGGTTCATGGGGGACGCCGCGCGCGGTCCCATAGGAGCCTGTGGCAGCTGCACGCTCCCCAAGGACATCGGGTTAAATGAATTCATCCCTGTGAAGGAACCCACAATGGGGCGTCAGGAGGACCCGCAGGAAAACGGTATCCCGGCTCACCAAGGACACGCGAAGCAATGCAAGATGGAAGACACGCGACAGGTGAGAAGAAACCACCCGCTGATCGGGACAGACGGGTGACAGGCCTCTGCCACCTGGAAGAGGGTGGTGGGGCAGGGCCGGCAGCGCGAGAGACGCGGTTGCGGAGCCCGGCGGCCACCCACACGGCACAGGTGGGCTGAGCGGGGCAGCTCAGGAGAGCGCGATGACGGGCCAAGGGGCAGTGGGAGGGCTCATGCCTGTCCCGCCACATGCCCTCCTGCCCCGCAGCCCAGGGCGCCTGTCTGTGCCAGCTCCCGAGGCCTCCAGAGCCTGTGCCCTGCAGGGAGCCTGTGGGCTGAGCTTTGCTGCTCAGATCTGGGGTAAGACGCCGACCAGGGTCTTCATTTTCCAAGTCTGTGAAGGGTTTAAAAAGAGCCCACGGGCAGCAGTGTCCCACCTCAGCCGCCTCCCTACAGGCTGGAAGGCCCACACCTTCCCTGGGTGCCCACTGGCCGCCGGAGCGTCACACAGGGGAGAGACTTGCCAGCTGCCGAGCATCTCAGGCCAGTGCCGCCTCCCTCACGACTGCCCACATGCAAACCGAGTTCCTCAGATGCCGGGTGACGCAGGGCTGAGGACTGTCATGGGCTCTGATGGTCTTTGAGGGCATCGCCCTCACGCGAGTGGGACCTAAGAGGGTCTCAAAGACCATCTGCCTCCCCCAGCACTACCTTCCATGACCACCGAGAACCACTACCGTCAACATGCGAGTGCAACAGGCCCAGGAGAACTTTCCGGGAAACCTGCAAATAAAACTTTCCCTGTCCTGAAGAATTCAAGAATTAAACAAAGCCAGATGTGTCGTCAGAGAGGCGCACCTCTTCGCCTCCTGCTCAACAGCTGTCGTGTCAGATTTCAAAGCCACAGAAGCTTCCACGTCACCCCAAACAGAACTCAGCCACGCCCCTCAATTTCTCGGACTCTGACTTCTTCCTCGGCCAAGCCACCCGGACAAGCCCCCGGAGCGTCCTCCAAGGCAGCCACCCCCACGTCGCCTCCAGCGCACAGGAGGACGGCAACGGCACTCACGGCCTCCTCTCCCTCCCGAACCGGCCCCCGCACAGCAGCAAGCCCTATTCCAGAATCTTCCGAATAAGCCATCACATTGTTTCACGACCTGTAGAAATGTCCTCATGTTCAAGCTTCAGTCTGAGAGGAACTGGAAAAGTCCCGAAACACCGTTTACTGCCAAGCTAAAATGTCTGCTTCCACCAGGCAGCCGCACAGACTCCACCGGGGACAACCCTCCACCATGGTCCAGACCAGTGCGGGAAGCCTGGCCTGGCGGGGAGCCCCGCACTGGCCCTCCCCGGCGCCACCGCCTGCTCACCCCGGCCTGAACTTTGGAGCTCACCTGTCCCACAGGCCTTCCCAAACACCTGCCCCACCCAGGGCACCCAGGGAGGCTCTGCCTAAGGGTCCTGTCCCCTCAGGACAGGAAACAAGAGGGCCAGGTCCAACTTCTGATCCTGGGGAGTGCTCCTCTCATCCTCAAGCTTCTGCACGCAACAGACACCCACTCCGCCTCGGAGCTGCAGCCTGCCTGCCAGCGCAGGAAGGGGAGACGCTGTGCACACACGTGGGGAGGGGTGCTGAGCATCAAGCTCAGACGGGAGTCATGGCAGTAAATACCTTGAGACACCTGCATGCGGTTCACCGGCAGGGGCATGGGTCCATCTAAAATGGCAGAAAAAAATGTGGTTATTTAAAGTGACCCCTGACCCAGCAGTGGGAATCTTAGCCTGAAGGCTGGCAGAAGACAAGGAGGCCTTTACTTGGAGGTCTCACGGGCTGTGGCTGTGGCACCCCAGGGGGCTGGGCACCAGGCGCTGGTAGGGCCGGCTGGCTGCCCAAGATGCCCTGCTTGTGTAGACGCGACCTCCGCTTTTCTTCTAGTTCTTTTTGTATCTTGTAGATTTTCTCTGCGAGTAAGTGATAGTACTCATCCTGGAAAAGACAAAATCCATATGAAATTGTGAAAACTATACAAAAAGAAAGTTTACATGTTCTAACAAACTAATAAGCTTTCCTCATGGAGAACACTGACATGGTGAAGTGCTCAACACGTCCGATACATCACAGGCCCAGAATCTTGTGGAACGCCTAGTGGAATCACGGAGTTTCTGAGTTGGCGCCACGCAGCCTGTGACATTTCACTCCATATCTGAACCTCTCCCTGTTCACTGACGCTGGCGCTGACCCAGCAGGGGCGGCAGGAACCGCGTCCACTAAGGCATGCCCGTGACTGAGTCATGGTGCCGCCCGCCTGCCTGCAGCAGCATTCTCCATGCGAGCTGGGTCAGCTCTCAGGTCTGCTCTGAGGGTCTCCCTCTAGGGGACACTGCCAACCCGACGGGCAGAGCCCCCTCTGCAGATAAGCTGGATGGACGCAGCTGCGTCCTCTGCAGGTGTGTGTGTGGGGGCTGCAGGCTCGCGGCGACCTACCCTGCTGTTGGCAGACTCGTACATGTCCCCCTCCACCTTCTTGGCGTAGGCTACCAGGTTCTCCATGCGGCGATCCTTCAGGGCTGCGGGGTCAGGCGTGGGGAAGATGGCTTGCACGCTGGAAGGAAAACAACTCCATTAACTGACTTTCAATGCACACCTTGTCATTTCACACGTGACAGAGAAAGAGAAGAAACCAATTGCCTTCTAAGGGGTAACTCAGTGTCGTGAGAAACCCCCGACTCTGCCTGCCTACCGTGCACACAGTGAAGCCGCTCTCCGGAGACAACACTGACCTGCTGGTCTCCCAGAATATTTTGGTGTTAATAAATACATGCCAAGTCAATTCAAGCATGACGTTTTTCAAATTCCTAACTTTTAAACTATACCAAAAGATGAGTGGGAATAATGAAGGGGAAAAAGAAACATCCAGTGGAATCGATTAAATTTACCGTCAGCTCAATGTCAGTGGCTGTGAGCTGAGCGGCTGTACAGGGGCATGGCAGACCCTCTGCGCCTGGGCCCAGACTCCTCCGATTCTCAGGATCTCCCCAACTGTAACCTTGAGTTGTAAGAAAACGCGCGGGGGCCCTGGCCCCTGAGCCATGGGCCATGCAGCTCAGGGCTGAGTCACAAATGCTCTGATGATCCCTGCAAGGCCAAGGAGTCTCTGGCCTGCAGCAGTGGCTACCACCCCCTAAACCACACGGGTCTCCCTTCAGCTGCTACGGCACTACCACCTACAGGACCCCTCAGGAGTGAGTCAGGCAGACCCGTGACAGCACCGCCAGCACAAGTGCCTGCGTCCCGCATGGGTGGCGGCGCTGCACGTACAGTTTGTGCACGAGGTGGCTCCGCAGGTCCTGAGTGACGTGTTCGTGCCAGCCCTTGCGGACGCCAGTGCTGGAAGGAGGTGCCGCTGTGGGTATAGTGCTGAGGGCGCCGATGTTTCCGGAGCTGGAGCCGTCACTCGTCAGCGGGCTATGGGAGAGACCAGGACGCGCCCTCTGTCCACTGAGGGACTCGAGTGCGAATGCACCTGTGTGATCTACGGTCTGCCCCACGTTTACAGGTAAAAACATTTCCCCCACCACCCCGCTCAGACTATTCTCATCTGCCACATGTTAGGCACCACAGGGTTTTGTGGTTACCAGCCCCGGCCCGTGCAGCTGGCATGCAGAAAGGAGCAGGCTGAGAAATGCGCTTACTTTGTAGCCCCGAGGGAAGTTGGAAGAGCTGATTGTGAAATCAAGTTTGGTGGCTGCTGATCGGTTATTATTCCTCCTGCTGGAATGTTCATTGGGTTATTTCCTTTAAGACAGAAAGAAAGAAGTCAACCAACTCCTGAATGAGAAAATATGCTTCAAAGTTTCAGCAGCAGGTAAGCTGCCAGCGCAGGGGCCCCGAGGAGCTACCGCGAGATGGATCACAAGCGCTCCGGAGTCCTGGCTCTGGCAATGGCCACTCGTACAGCCCAGCTGCAGACCCCTGGCCGCTGTCCTTCTAACCCAAAGGAGGCACTTTTAATACAGCTACTGAGTATTTAAGTACACTCTATGACTGTGGGTACAATTAGAAGTAACCCTTCTACAGTTTCAGATTTTTAATGCTGGTTTCATCACCATCATGCCATGAGCCATTGTGTGGCTTTTTATTTTTCCGTATTAGAAAATAAAATCATAGAAATTAAGTGCAGAAAAGATCAAGGTGCCTACGGTATTCATTTTAAAGTAAGAAAAAGCTGAGACTCAGAGAGGTTAACAGTCTCATCCCAAGTCACACCATCAACAGGCATGGGGTCAGGTCAGAGGTCAGGTCGTAGGACTGCAACCCCGGCTCCTGGCCGGTAGACCTTAGGTGTTCATTATGGCAGCTGTTACCCAAGAAAGCAACAAATGAAGTGAGTTTAACAGGTCATTTGAAAAGGTAAAACACTTATCCTATTAGAAAAGGGACGTAATTAGCACAACATCCTTTTCTTGGTTTGATGGACACCACTGCTTGCTTAAGCCTAAGCTTCAAAAGACTGGGTCAATGAAAAAAAATTTTTTTTAAATATTTATTTATTTATGCATTCAAAAACCGGGGTGCAGGCCAGAGGTGGGGGGTGAGAGGATTCACCAGAGACAGAGTGGGGAGCAGAACAGGCAGATGTACTGAGACTCACTGCTGAGGGGAGCGCGGGGAGACAGGAGAGGTCTGCCTTGCCCTGTGGGTCAGCTCCCTGGCCGGGGATAAAGCTCGTGCTGCAGTGGCTATGGACAGCTTGATAGCGCTGTCGTTAACCCCTGCGCCACCAGGGAGGCCCAATTTAAAGAAAAATTTTGAAAAAACAGTATGTGCACACGGCAAGGGAATCGTGGCTCCACATGAACAGATGCGCCAACATTGGCAAATAATGGACTGAAGTGACACCGAGAAGCAGTGGGAAGACTGGCAGACCACCCACAAGTGCTCCTCAAGTAAACAGCCTGGTGAGGGTCTAGACCAGAGGCACAAACAGGGCTCTGAACTGTGAGCTTCAGCTTGAGCCATATGAACTCCCTCAAGACAGCTATCCAGAAGCAGCACAAGGAGCAACAGACATTGATTCATCTCAAATGTCACTCTTCCCCCAGGCCTGGAACTTTTCCCCTGCATCAGACACTCCTGCCTTTTCAACCACTTACAAGGTACCATAACACGTCTGCCATAACACGTGCGACATAGCAACTTGAATGTAGAGTAAAAACAACGGCTGAAAGCAGCCTTGGGTTTCAGGAAGACACGTCATTCCCATGGCTGCATCTGGGGCCATGGAGTTCTCCAGAGTTCCTTCACCTACCCGAGGGGTTGAGAGTCCTCATCTGCTGGTGAGTTTGAGGCTGTGCTGGTTGCTGGCCGGGAACCTGAGGCTGCGGCTGCGTCTGGTTCAGGTAGGGGAGTCCGAGGGCAGTGGAGGCCCGCTGCATGGAGCTGGGGTCTATGGGGTTTGGGTTACTTAAAGAAGTGGCGTTCTGTTGGTCTGTACCTACAGAACCAATTGTGTTCTGAATTCCACTAGCAGGAGACCCCAGGATAGCTACAACAACAGACAGACAAAAAAGAAAAAAGAAAAAAGAAAAAAAAAAAAAAGGTCAGTAACAGCAAGAAGCCCAGGAGTGACTCACAACCCAGCAAGAAGCAGGTGGAATTGCACCGACAGGGGAGAGACAGGCGGGCGAGACCCTGGGGCTGGCCAGGAGCTGCGCCCGAGGACCTGACTCCAGCCCGTCCCGTGCAGCCGTGTGGAGAAGCTGGACACGCTCAAGCTTCCGTCTTAGAAGGCAACAGAGCACACAACAGAAAGGACTGAAACTCTGCAGGGACCCGCGGTCAGAAGTCAGCTCCGGGGGCGGCAGCACACGACCAGGGGAGGGTTTGGCTCTTCGGGGGTCCCCAGCCACCCCTGAGGTGACCTGGGGGCATCCTTCCCACCACCGCCTCCCAGGGCCTCGGGCTCCCGGCACAGGCAGAAGGTTCCGAGTGGGTCGCGGTGCTCCCGAGTCAACCCTCGAAACCCCCCGCCCCGCCCGCCACACACACAGCCCACCCGGCTCCCGCGTCCCTCCCGGGGCGGCCACCGAGGCGCCCGCTCCGAGGCACGCGCGGCCGCCGCTCCAGCCCTCCCGCCCAGGCCGCGTCGGCTCCACAGCCGCCCCCGAGCCCGCAAACACTCCGTCCGTGGGGGAACCGGGTCAGAACCTACCCTCGGGCCACGGCGGCGGCGGCACTTCTCGCCGCGCCTCGGAGCCGAGCAGACGCCGCCCGCGGCCCCTTCCGGAAACGCCCTGCCCGCGCGGGGCAGGATGGGAAGCCGCGAGTTTCCGGGGCCCTGCGCCTGCGCGAGTTTCCCGGACCGCCCTGCGCTTGCGCGAGCTTCCGGGGCGCAGGCGCAGGCGCGGGGCTCTCCGTTGAGACGCTGCCGCGGCGGCGCCTGAGGTAGGAGGGCCGGGCCGGGCCGCGCTGTGGGGCGGGAGTCGGCGCCGGGAGGGGCCGTCCGGCCGCCCCCGACCTCCCCGCCCGCCTGCGGGAGCAGCGCCTTCCTCGCGCGCCTCCCGCCCGGCGTCGGCGGCGCCGGGGCCGCCGGGGAGCGAGGCCGAGGTCGGGGAGCCGCGGGGCGCGGCGGGGTCGGCGCTGCCGTCCGGCTCCGCGGGCGTCGGGCCCCGGCGGCCCCCGGCGCGCGGGGCACCCGCCGTTCACGCCTTGTCCGCCGCGCGCCCGCCGGCAGGTAGGGAGCCCGGCCGGACCCGGGGACCCCGTCCCGGAGACCCGCCCCCGGGGTCCGTCCCCGCCGCTGCAGGGCGCGGTCTGGGGCAGGTGCGTGCGCGGCGGCGCGGACCCCGCGTCCCGGAGCTGCCCCGGCCCCCACTGGGGCCCCTTCCGTCGGCTGAGCCTGCCCTGGGGGGCCCTCCCTGACCTCTGCCCTCCCACCACCCACTTCTCGCCCCGAAGGCACCAGGCTCTCCGCAGTCACCAGCTCAGCAGGTCATCGCCCGGTTCACACGCGCGGCCGCACCTTCGGGCCAGAGGAACGCGCCGCGGAGCAGCAGCATCTGGGCCGCCTCGGCGTCGAGCCCCGCGGGGCACAGGTAACCAGCGAGAGAGTCCACGCTCGGGACCACACTGGGGTTGGGCCGCTGGAAAGCCTCGGTCGGGTCCTTCCTCATTCTCGTTCTGGAAAGAAGGGACGATCCTGCCAAACAGCATCGCAGTGAGGGTGAAACGCGTTAGACCCGGGGAGCACTTGGGCCGGCGCCTGAGTGAACTTTGCTGCCATTGAGTCAGCTTTGATGTTTGAACCCCACCAGCTGCCCAAGTAAACCATCGTGCCCCGGGGCAGGTCTCTGGTCACCTGCGTTTGGAGAGCTGGGGTGAGAGGATGGAGAAAAATGATCTTTTTTGATCTGAATAAACTGGCTGTGGGGACGCAGGACGACCTGTCTCCCCACTGCTTGTCCCTCTTGAGTGCTCAGGCCTATATTCTCTGCATCACCCACTGTCTGCTGAGGGAGCCGCTTGGGCCAGCACAGGCCCAAGGCAGAGTTTTTCTGGATTGACATCTCATGTGTATGGCGACTGCCCTTCATGGGACGCATGCCTCAGATTTCAGTAAAAACAACACTTCCAACACTTCTGCCTAGAGAAGAACGTGCTTTGACAGGTTTCAAGATCCCTCTCCCCTGTTTTGTGATGTCCTGTGGGCCCAGAGTCTGGCTGTGCCTGAGGAATCGACAGGGGTGTTGTCATTCCAGACACCTTTCCACATGCTCTGTAGCTCCCCGGGGGAAAAACAGCATGAAAGGACAGCATCTGTCCAGCTGCACTGAGATGCTTTTGGTTCTTCGCAGATGTGACCCCAAAGGACCCAGCGCACTTCTCACCGTGGCGATCTGAAGGGTCACCTAAGCAGCAGCACATGTCCATTGTATCTGAGGCGCCAGTGGACAACAAAACCTTTCGAACTTGAACTTTAACAGAAGAAAGCTTTAAGCGGGCTGTTTCACACAGGCTCCATTTGAGCAAAGGCATTTTAAATCATTAAGGGGAGAAAAACAGCACTTTTTGCTCAGTAGTGCGAACCCTCCAGGCAGTCTCCGTGGGAAGAAAAGGGAACACTAGTGAATCTGCGCGTGTGAGCCTGGTGGGGCTCCTCTGTGCACACCCCCAGCGCCACCCTCCCCCCCAAACACTTCCCAGGATGGATGAGTCTGATGAGGATTTTAAAGAACTCTGTGCCAGCTTTTTCCAAAGGGTGAAAAAGAATGGCCCCAAAGACGGGTCTGGGGAAAGGAAGAGACCGAGGGCCCCAGACAGCACGCAGACACGCAGCAGACCGCAGGGTACCAAACTGACCACCGCCAAGAGCAGCGCCCCCGCAGGCCCCAGAGCCACGAAAGCCCGACCTGGCAGCCGGGCCCAAGGGCTAGACAGTCAGGGCCCACCAGGTGCCAGGAGCAGGGCCCAGTGCCCCCTGACGACGGAGAGGGAGGGGCGCTCGCTCCTGCTGCACCCCCAGAGAGCACAAGGAGCACGCAGACAGGTAACCGGACCAGGAACACTGCTGGGGCTTTCCAGAGAGGGAACCGGAGAGGAGCGGGCTTGTTTAAACCGGAGTCGGAAAACTCCGAGAGCCAGCTCACAGATGTTTTTGACGCTGCCGGCCAGTGGCTGCTGTTGCAGCTGCTTGGCTCCCAGGCGACACGCAAACCCATGGGCCGAGTTCCCACGGAACTCCGTTCCCACAGCAGGCGCCGCCGGGGCCAGGGTTTGCCGACTCCTGTTTTAAACGATCGTCAGGAAAGTTTGCCACGTGATCACGCCTGTCCCCTCAGAGTTTCCTGTCAGTGTGGCCGGGACATGGTGCACGTGCCCCTGCATGGGAAGACGGCTGCTGCTGCTCTCCCTTTCTCGCGTTCATTCTGCAGTTTGGGGTCAGCTGCAACCCGGGGGTTCAGTCGAGCTACTGAAGAGGTAGTCCCTGTGGCGGCGGGGCTTAGGCCCCAGGAGAATTTTCAGGTCTCACCTTCCTCCTGCAAAACCACCTTTTACTCTCTTTTTGCTTGTTTGTGTAAAGCCCCACTGCCCGGAGCACTGGAGCATGCGCGGGGTGGGCCTTCTCCACGCAGAACCGAAACCGCTTGCAGGTGCAGCGCCAGGCCGTCTCTCGGCGCACCTGAGCTCGGTTTCTAGTTCTTTCTCTCCTTCACTTCCTGATCTCAAATAACGTTTTTCACTCGCGTGGCCAGCCGGCCCTCTGGCTGGAGCAGTGGCGGCAGCCTGCGCTGAATGGGGGCTGCACGTGATCTCCCCAGAAACCGGCCCCACACTTGCCTGCAAAACTGACAAAAGACTTCAGAAGTTACGGGCTCCCCATGGGAGGCCTTCTGGGGCCACCCAAGTGATAGGAGCACCTGGATCTAGGATCTAGGAAGACTCGTCATTAGTATTTCTTGAATACCCACTTTGCAGATGCAGTCGCGTCTGTAAACCCATCCCGCTGCGGTGCACGGGTCACTGGTTTCGGTGCATTCATGGTTGTGCAGCTGCCGCCACAAGGTGCCCCAGTTTTAGGACCTTGTCATGACCCCACACATGCTCACCCACTGCCCGCCCCTCCCGGCTGAGGGACTTAGGGCCCACGTTCCCGTTCCCATTCCCGCGGGCAGCGGGGCTCCAGCTAGCGGCCAGGGCCGGTCACACTGGAGAGTTAGCCGAGGCTGGTTGCCAGATGGCCGTGGGAGCCCTGGCCCGGTGGGAGCCAGCCGTCTCTCCCGCCGGAGGAGATGTCTGCAACCGTTCTTCTCCTCGCCAGACGGTGCTCCCGGCAGCGGCCCCCGGCCCTGCCTTCCTGTCTGGCGGCCACAGAGCCGAGTCCCAGCGAGCGGACAGCGGAGCTGGTCCTGCGGCGGATGCAGCGCTTCAAGAGAGCCGACCCCGACCGGCTGACACACGCCCCCCCGGAGGCCGTGCTCCAAGAGATGGTTTCAGAGGGCCTCAAGAGGGAACGCCGGCCGGGCAGGGTACGAGGGTGCCCTATCTTCCCAGCAGAGAGGCGGGGGCGAGCGGGAGCGGTGCTTCGGCCTCCCCGCCGCCCTGGCCCTGCCTGGCAGGACCTTCCCGCCGCCTGAGTCGTGTCAGAGAGCCGGGGCCCCTGGGTCCTCCCTCACTGAGCTTCTCTGCCTGGGCACCTCTTTCTCTTTCTGGATTTTCATTTTATTACGAAGCTGTCCCAGACAGCAGAGTAAAAATCCCAGCGAGCCCCACCCTTAGCCTCGCTCCGGCAGTGGCCCGCCCTTGACCGTGTTTTCCATCTCACGAAACACGTGTTTCTGCTGCCATCGTGGCCCTCACCCCTAATCCCGCCACACAAGCCCGAAGCAGTAGGCATCGTCACCTCTGAAAAAACACACTAAAGGAGAAGCAGCGGGGCAGGGGGCACCCCAGCACAGGCATGTGGCCCTGCTTATGCAGCATCGCCCCGGGGGCGAGGGCTCCAGGCCTGCCCAGGGCCCACCACGCCTGCAGCACTGGAGGGCACTGGGAGCCTTTGGCCATGCCCGAGCCCAGGGCCTGCCTGTATGCGGCCCAGTTGCTTCCATACATGCTCACGCCACGCCAGCAGTGCCCGGGAGAGACAGCTCGCTCCTGTGGTTGAAAAAAGAGGCACCAGAATGAGGTGCGATGCTTTCCTGCCACGGGGAGAGAGTGACAGGCTGTTGGTGACGTTCTCGGGACATTCCTGTGAGGGATCTGCTCCAGCACGACCAGATGGGCCAGGGCGTGGCGGCGGCACAGCACAGCTGCCCAGGGAGCCACCTCGAGACAGGAGTCATCCCTCCCGTGGTCAGAGGCCGAGTCCACCGAGGGGGGCTGCGTTCTGACCTGGGCCTTCTCGGAAGGCCGTGAGGGGCTGGCCACGGGGAGGTGGGGCTTAGGAGAGAAGCCTGGACCTGGAGGACTGGGGGGCCTGTCCCAGGTGCTTACAGCAGAGACAGCCATAGTGAGGGCGCTCGGGGCCTTGCCCGGCGGCTTTACACTGCAGGAAGCCGGCTGCCCTG